GATTCTGAATAGGTCCTATGGGTTCTCCAGGCATTCCCCATTGCTAACTCCTAGTCTATACCATGTTTATTGAGGGCTGAAGCAATTCGAGCCCTACGGTGGGCATCAAAATGTTCCTGCAAAAGATACAGTAGTTCATTGTAGATTCTGTCCTCACGTACGGCTGTGACGTTCTCGTAGAATATTCCAAATTCTCCTTGTCCGTAGGGGGAGGGTACTTGCAATGACACTCCAACAGTCAAGTAAGTATTCGGTATAGAACAATAAATGTTATTAAATATTCTCCAGTCTCCCTTACTTGTCCTTCTTAATTTCTTTTTATAGGCATAATGTTGGGCTAATGGGCTTGATGAGTCAGCCTTAAACTATCTTCTGATTAGTTAGATGATTAACTCTTTTTTATTTGATTAATTATCTTAACTAGTCTGTTAATCTATTTTGATGTGATCAAAGGAAATGTGAGTACCGTTCGACCCAAGGCCAAAGAGGTGTAGGTGTCCTTTGGCCCAAGATGAGGCCAAAAAGATATTTGATTTTCTGTTTAAGTGAAAATAACCGAATTATGTCTTATCCAATATAGTAATGATATAAAAATCACAAATAGAAGTACTAATAATCATTAACCCATTAATCAATTATTAACTCATTTGCTATATTTTATTTTATGAAAGATAATAATTGTTTTGATAAAATATAGTTTAATGTAAGAAATTCATTAGTTAATGTGTTTGTTTTCATAAAACATTTTACAAATTAGATTTTTTTAAATTAAATAGTCCAATACACCTAACTAATTCCTTTTCTAGTTTTTGTAACAAGTTATATATAGGAGAGTGCCAATTGAACTACAGCAACCTAAACAAAAGTCTTTATATCAAACATTGTTGTTTTATAAAATTGATTTTGGAGAGTGATTATAAAAATCACAAAGTTGACCTATCATTCTCTCTACAAACCAAAATCCTAACTTTCCATTTCAAACTCATATATTCATCTTTTCCTCATCACAAAGTTGTGTTTTTTTTTTTAAAACAGATCAATTATAATAATTTTTTTTCTTATTATTTGTTATTATGAATGTTTTGTATTTAGTTACATTTGCATTCATCTTTATGATTATGTGTATCTAAATACTACTTGTTATGAAACTAAAATGGATTCTTATGATATAACATATTTTAAATTACAATTTGATTTTACAATATTAATATTATTTATCAATTATAATTATATTTTCAAGTAATTATTATTCTTAAATTAGTTATTCAAAAGATAAATCTTAGTTAATCAATTGATATCTGATAGATATGATCACCTATCAACTAATTAACTAAGATTTACTTGAGTTACTAATTCAATAATAACAAATAATATCAAAAAGATAATTATGATTAACAAATAATATTAATATCATAAAAATTAAGCTAAAATTCAAAAAATTTACATCATAAGAACCCACCACATAGTAAGTGATATTTACTACACATAGTCAAAAAGATAAATTCAAAAATAACTAAATATTTAACATTTATAATCACAAATAATAAGGAAAAAAAATATCATAGTTGACGGAAGTACAACTTTGTGACAAGAAAGAGAGAAGTATAATAAAGAGGGGAGTAGGGGAGTTTAGGATGAAGACTTAGGACTTGTTTGTTTTTATTTTTGCTTTTTAAAAAATTATAATTTAAAAAAATTAAAAAATATTTTTAAAGAGAAAATAAAAAATAAGAATTGTTTTTAGTTTAGTTTTTAAAATTATTTTTAAGATGAGAAAAAAAAAGTTGTTTGATAAATTTATTTTTGAAAACAAATTTTAAAAACTAGAAAAAGAAAATGTGTTTTGTTTTATTTAGTATTTTAAATTAAAAATATATATATATATATATATTTGATATTTAATTTTTTTTATTTACTTAAATATATTTTCTGTATTTAAAATAAAATATTGAATTAAAAAAGTATTAAAACATCAAATCTAATTAATATTGAACCCAAAATACTTTAGCGGTTATTTTTGTTTTTTAATTTTAAAAACTGAAAATTAAAATTTTAAAAAAAATAGCTTTTACAAATTTAAATTGACAAAAAAAATTATTTTTTTATTTTTAAAAACAAAAAATTGTATTTTAAAAAAATAAACATGCTCTTAGAATTTTAGCGTATAGAGATAATAATAGGTTAAGTGTCAAATATATCTATACGAAAGAATGAAATCATTTATATAAAGTGTATAAAAAAAAATATGTTTTAACTTGTAAAAAAAGATCTCATTTGTTCTTAAAAAAGATATAGATTTTTTGTTTAATGTTACTGAGTTTTACCATGGGACATGCCTATGTTATATTTAAATTTCATATTCTATCTCAAAATTTAAAATTAAAATTATTATCTAATTTTAAAATTTAAATTAAAAACTCATTAATTTCACTCATTTTAATAATTTTTTTATAATTTGACTTATTTACAATTAGGTTGTAATATTGAAAAATTTTATAATAAAATTAAAAAAATTAGTCAATTTAAGAAGTAAAATAATAGTTTTAATAAAAATATAAACTAAAAATTAATAAATAAAGAGACAGACTTGAATCACTTTTTATTAGTAATTATTGTCTTCAATTTTGTATATATATATATCTCAGCTATACGAAATTATAAATACCACTTTCTGTCATTAATCAGATACTCTTTTCTGTAAGACTCGCACAGGAACAAGTTGTTTTGTCCGTGAAAACTGAAAAGAGAGTTAACTTGCATTCATCATGTGAAAATAATGTGCAATATTTATAACGAATATAACAATAAATTCCGATTCTAAATGAAATTCCATTCCTCCGCTTTGCATATTGCGCTTTCCAACCTTTTATATATTAGCATAAGAAATAAAAAATAAATATAAATATCAAATATCAAATATTATTTAAACAGTAAAATTTTGAATATTTATAAGAGAACATTAGAGAAGTGCGAATGCGAATGCATGGTAGAAGACAAATAAAGTAAACAATTGAATCGAATAAACAAAGGCACGATATATACATCATATCAACTTTTTTCTCTTTTTGTTTCTTTTGCTATTGCTATCATATCCACGTTCAAACTTGACGTACGATCGATGAGTCTTCAGCTTTGCAAATTGCAATTAGAGACAGAGAGAAGATATTCTGTTTAAAATAAGTTGAATTGGATAAGGCCAACGTTGAAATGACCGAATTAACTAACAATATTAACTAACATTACTGGACCAAGTTGTTGTTCCTAGATAAGATTCACAATAATTTATCTACCTACCCTGTCCGGAGAAAATTTCATATATTATTGTTTGATGATAGATTTTTTTTTTTAATATAACCTTTGCCTAATAAATATTATATGATTTTTATGAATTAATATCATACGTGTCACATTATTAATAGACCCATAAATACATTTTAAAATCTAAACAAAGAATTCAGTTGATACTCAGTATGAACATAAATAAGTACTTTTAAAATGATAATTAAGAAGCTTATATATTGAAATAAGTTAAAGTTAACCTACAAAAGTCGTAAGTTATTGTGAACAAGTTATACATAAATTATTTCAAATAATTTCTTGATAAATACATGTATTTAATTTTTAAAAGATTTTCTAAACTTTGCGTCAGCATCTTGATCCTCTTTTGGTGCAAGTATAGTACTTTTGAAGGACCCTCAAATATTTCCTCTTAAGTAACTTCATATAATTGTATGCAGATGTCAACCACTCCATATAAAGTCTTTTAAATACTTCAGATGTTGCTTTGCAAAGATGTTGGGGGATATTTGTGTGCAGTTTTCTAGAAAACATTTATTATGATTTTCTGCTTTTTAAAAGATTGTTAAAGTTACTTTAATTAGCTCAATTTAGTTAAGCTTATGAATATTTTTTTACCAAAAGATAATATAAAAATAAATAAAATTTCATTTATAAGTTAAAAAGAATTTATTTTTTCAAAATTTTAAAAAGTTAGATGAGAGTAGCTTTTTGAAAATAAAGAAAAATAAGTTAATTTTAACTTATGAAAAAATTTCAATTTATAATACTACTTAATTATTTTACTCTAAAAAGTATTTATGGAGAAGTCTATTTAACTGAATCTTATACACTTATCAAAACGTTATACAATTTTATCAATATTCTAAAGTTATATCATTAATAAAATAAATAAATAAATGTTCTTAATTCTAACCAAAGCAATTTAATTTATCTTAAAAAACTGCTATACTAATAAAAAACAATCCCAGTGCTTCGTTAGTAAACTTTGTTATTTTAGGTCTTGAGACAGTTAACTATTTAAATATCTCATGCAGTCATTAACATAGTCAAAACACATGGAATATTTAAGATTATTTACATAAGTCTATAAAAAGTAATTTTTATTTATGTTAAAATTATTAATACCTTCTTAAATACCATGTATTTTTCTTTATTTTTGAAAATTTATTTTATAACACTTACATCTTTAAAAAAAAAAAACAATTTATTATTATTTCTTTATTTTTTTACTTTTGACGGCGTGTTACCTGAATCATGTTAACTCCGTTTAACTAGCATACAAATCAGCTGCAATAAATTCTAAACACACATTTCGAACGTTCAAATCTTAAACTAAAAGTTCGTTACCGTCCAGAAAATGAAATTTGAAAATATGATAATTAAAGTGCTTATGTAATAAATTAATTATAAAATATATTGAAATAAGTTAGTTTTTTTAATAAATTATATAAAAATAAATTAAAAAACTTTTAATAATCGTAAACTATTTTTAGAAATGATATTTATAAGTTCTTTCAAATATCTTCTGAAATCTTAAGTTTGAACTCAGTTATTCGAGTGTGTTGGCGTGGTCAGTGTCCACGACCACTTGGTTAGCATCTGACGCTCTCCTGCATCGTCTTTGCTCACGTTTTTGCAATGACAACGCAGACGCTTTCACCGGTATATATCCAAGAATCTAAAAGTTGAAAAGTTCAATGATGGAACGGAGGTCTAGAGAAAGGGGTAAATTTGGTGGATATCTTGAAAAAGTTCTCAACAATTCCACATCGTACGTTTTTACGAATTTTCCATTTATTACTGGTGTTTCAGCCTTGTGGCAGATATTTCAACAATGGGAGAAGGTGGTTAATGTTTTCATATCTCAAAAGAGTGATAAACTAGGACGTCGCTTTGATTTTGTGCATTTTATGGAAGTGGCGGATGCCAAGAGTTTGGAGGCTAAGCTTAAATCTATTATCATTGGCAGAATGCGCTTATATATCAACTTGATGAGGCATGCAAGGGAGAAAACTGTGGGTACAAAGGTGTCTGCGGAGGGCAATAAAACAAGACTCTCCTTTGTCATAGGAACTACAAAGACATCAAGGAATACGTATGCAGAAAAGCTTAAAGCACCCCGTCTAATTGAGATACACAAAGGGCAGAAGTGGGTGAAAAAGAAGAAACCTTGGGCTCACCTTGAGTTTGAGGTGGATGAGGGGCGAATTGAGGAATGTAGAGGTGCTATGGTCGAACGCCTTTATAGAAAACATGATTTAAAAAATATGCGAAGGGCTCTTCTGCGAGAAAGTATGTTGGATATTAATCTCACGACCATGGGTGATGATATGGTGTTAGTGAAATCTGATGCGGGGGTAGATTTAGAGGATACAATATCGCTCAAGAAATTGTGGTGGGAGAAATGGTTCTATGATCTACGAGAGTGGCACCCAAATGTGGTAGCTGTGCGGAGGGTGACTTGGGTACGGTGTTATGGGGTCCCTTTGCATGCTTGGAGTGAATTATTCTTCCGTAAGTTGGTTTCTTCGCTTGGTGATTTTATCCAGATAGACCAAGTCACGACAAAAAGACGACGATTGGATTATGGGAGGATACAAGTAGGTACTACTATTGCTGAGCTTATCAAGCAAAACATTACAATGAAAGTCAATGATCGTTTTTACTCAATAGTCATGCTTGAAGAGCATGCCTGTGACGTAGTAGCCGTAACAGAGGAAGACGTGGCTAACTCTTCTGAGGACGGCAATGACTCATCCGAGGACGGCAATGACTCATCTGAGGTTGGTTCAATGAAGTTGAAAGCGTTGGATAACTATTCTAGTGAAAAGGAGGGTATGCTGTAAGGTGATATCAGAAGTAAGGGTCTTGATTCTGTGATTAAGGGTGAAGTGTCAGCAAAAGGGTGTTTGGTGGATAAAGGTTTGGGGGCTGGTGGTATGGATGCTATGGGTCCGACGGTGGCTATCTGTGATGCTGTGAATGATGAGCCTTCTAAAAATGTGGAGAGGGGAGTCCCAATAGTAAGAGATGATTTGAATTTGTCAGACTCATTTGGATTATATGCATTGATTTGAAAAAATCCAGAATCAGGGGATATGAAGACAATTGAGACAACACAAGACGACCTCTTTCAATCAAAAATTTTGAAAGAGAGGGTCAATGTACGTGAATCCCTTCGGAGGGCACGCTTTATGAAAGGTAGTCGAGGTAATGAAGGAGGGAAGAGACAGAAGAGCGCAGTTTCCATAGAACCCCCTTAAAAAAACCTTAAGAATCATAATAAAGAAGCGTTAATGTCATCACAACTTAGAAGACAGGTATCGCTAACTGATGAAATCTTAGCTAATGCTTCTAAGAGCTCCTACAACTCGCATCCTTCAGTGGAGGTGGGGGAGCGAATGACTGCTACAAATTGTGATGATGAGGTAAAGGCGTTGAGGTTACTAGACATTGGCAAGAAGGTTGGTTTGGTTGTACATGGGAACGATGAGCAAGTTCGAGAGAAATTGATTGAGATGGAGGTACGTGACAGAACGATTGTGAAAGAACATGGGGTTTGCTTTGATTCTAAATGAAGATTGGCTCATTTAATTGTCAAGGGTTGGGGAGCGAGGTCAAGCAAAAGAAGGTGTGTGAGATTATTCACTCTGAAGGTCTGGAGTTCTTGGTGATTCAGGAAACAAAACTTGAGACATGTAATAGTAATTTATGTGCGCGTCTGTGGGGTTCTGTGAATTTTGATTGGTATATCTTACCCTCCATTAGCAGAAGCGGGGGTATGCTTTCACTTTGGGATACTTCCAAAAGTAAAATAATTTTCTCCTTTTTTGGTACTGGATTCCTGGGTGTTTGCTTGCGGGTATTGGCTATTGGAAACCTATGTGTTGTGGTGAATGTCTATGCATCGTGTAGACTAAGTGAGAAGAGAAAGTTATGGGAAGATTTGCTCATGACAAGAAGGGGTTTTGGCAAATTTATGTGGTGTATATTTGGTGACTTCAATGCTGTGAGACAAGTGAAAGAGAGGAAGGGTTGTCAGGCATATCATGATATCTCTAAAATGGATGGCTTCAATTCTTTCATTTAGGAAATGAAACTTGTGGATCTTCCACTTGTGGGTAGAAAATTTACATGAATAAAAGGGGATGCTTCTATGATGAGCAGGCTGGATAGAGTCCTTATTTCTAGTTCCTGGCTTGATTACTGGGGAGATGGTTTCATTCAGGTTCTGAGCAAAGATGTGTCTGATCATTGTCCCATTATTCTTAAGCACAAAGTGGTTAATTGAGGTCCAAAGTTGTTTCGATTTAATAATTGTTGGCTGACTCATAAAGGAGTTGTGGAGGTGGTGGAGGAAGTGTGGAAAAAAGATATTTCCCTCCCATGGGCTGCCCAGAGAGCTAGCCAGAGGTTGAGGAATGTTAAGATTGCATTGAAAAAATAGAATATTGAGGTATTTGAAAATATTGATAAGGTGATCTCTGATTTGACAACTGAGTTAAGCTTGATTGATGATAAAAATTATGTGATGGAACTTTTCGATGTGGAGAAGAAGCGTCAACAGATATTGGTGGGTGATATTTGGAAGGTTAGGAAGAATAGAGAGAGTCTCATAGCCCAAAAAGCTCGGGTGAGATGGAGAAAGGAGGGTGATTTAAATACAACGTTCTTTCATTTGTGTTTTAATGGGAAGCGGCGACGAAATAATATACATGCGCTTCAAATTGGGGAGAGATGTGTCGAAGAGGTGGATGAGATTAAAGCAGGTGTGGTGTCCTATTTTGCGGCTCATTTTAGTAATAGAGGTTGGCTTCGACCTACTATTGATGTTAATAATTTACCGAAAGCCTCTGTTCTACAGAATGAAGGGCTTGTTAATGCTTTTTCAGAGGAGGAAGTGGGAAGGATGATTTTGGAGTGTGAGAGGGATAAAAGTCCTGGGCCTGATGGTTTCAATTTTGTGTTCCTTAAGAGGTTTTGGGGAGTGATCAAGGAAGAAGTGATGAGTATGCTTACTGAATTTTGTAAAAATGGGAAACTACCTAGGTCTTTGTTATCTTACTTTGTAGCACTCATGCCAAAAGTGTCTTGCCCACAACAGATATATGATTTTCGGCCTATCTCATTATTAGGTTGTTTTTATAAGATTGTTTCCAAGCTTTTGGCAAATAGGTTGAAAGGGGTTTTGGATTCAATAATTTCAGAAGAACAATCAGCTTTTATCCTGGGAAGGAACATGTTAGATAGTGTGCTTGTGGCTAATAAAGCAGTTGATTATGTGCAGAGGTATAACAAGAGGTGTTTTGTGTTAAAGCTTGATTATGAGAAGGCTTATGATTCGGTAAAGTGGGGATATCTTTTGTTTATGTTACGTAGCTTTGGATTTTCAGAAAAATGGGTTAAGTGGATGGAAGCTTGTGTGTGTGGGGGGGGGTAGCCTATCAGCTTTGATTAATGGTTGTTCTACATTGAAGGTTCATATTGAGCAGGGCCTAAAACAGGGGGATCCTCTTGCCCCTTTTCTTTTTCTTGTGGCAGTGGAAGGGTTAGGAGTTCTTATGCAAAAGGCAGTGACTAGTGGGTTATTCTCTAGTGTGAAGATTGGGGTAGAGGGACCAGATATTTCTTTGCTGCAGTTTGTGGATGACACATTGATTATGGGAGAGGTTTCGGTGCAGAATTTGTGGACTTTGAAAGCAGTATTGCGTAGCTTTGAATTAATATCAGGTATGAATATTAACTTTCATAAATCTTATGTATTGGGGATTAACACTGGTGATGACTTTGAAAACTTGGCTGCGGAGTTCGTACATTGTAAGATTGGTAGTTTCTCATTAAAGCATCTCGGGTTACAGTTAGGTGTTAACCCGAGAAAGCCTAGTGTATGAAAGGGTGTGCTAGAGGCTCTTAAAAAGAGGTTAGCATCTTGGAAGCATAGGTATTTATCGATTGGAGGCAGGGTGACTTTGATTAATGATGTTCTTAATTCTATGCTATTGCACTCATTATCCTTTTTTAAGGTGTCAAAGTCAGTGATAAAGGAGATTGTCACTATCCAACAAAATTTTTTATGGAAGGGTGTTAAGGATAGATCTAAAATCCTCTGGGTGAAATAAGAAACAGTATGTAGACCGCGGAAGAATGATGGCTTGGGCATTAGGAATGTGCAGTGGTTTAACTGGGCGTTTCTTGGTAAATGGTTGTGGCGAGGTGTTAATTGTTCTAGTTCATTGTGGGTGCAGGTGTTGGAATCTAGATATGGAAGATTAGCTTCTTTTATTTAGCGTTCTTCAGTTCACAACAGATATTCTTTGTGGTGGCCTGATTTGCTGGATGTTATTCATCAAGGGAATTAATGGCTAGATGAGAAGTTTGATAGGAGTGTGGGTGCAGGTTTACACACACTTTTTTGGAGAGACAAGTGAGTAGGCGGGGTGCGATTGTGTGAAGCATTTCTTCGATTGTTTGTGGTGGCGAGGAATGTTGAATCGTGTGTATTGGAGAATGGTTTTCATGATTGCACTAAGTGGGTTTGGGACGTTAGTTGGCGAAGAAGACTCTTTCAACATGAGATCTCAAGTTTTAATCTTTTGTTGGAGCTTGTGGAAGGAGTTCCTACTAAGTTACTACAAGAAGATAAATGGGTATGGAGAGCAGATTCTTTAGGTTGTTATTCAGTGCAATCTGCATATTCATGGCTATTTGAACTTTTTGGTGCTCCTAATCGTGTAGATCAGTGTACGGCAGATGCCTTGCAAAGGTTATGGAGAGAGAAGGTCTCTCTTAAGTGTCTGGTATTTTCTTGGTAATTATTGTTGAATGCACTTCCTTGTAAAGGTTTGCTAATTGATCGTGGAGTTCAAATTGATGATGATATAACTTGTTGCTTCTGTCATGGTTTGGAGGAACTTCAACTCATTTATTTTTAACGTGTCCAGTTTCATCTCAAATCTGGTACTTTACTGCACGTTGGCTTGGATTCTTACTGGCTTTGCCTTCAGATTTATCGACTCACTTGTTTTCTTAGGTTGGTGTTGGCTGTAGTAAAAGAGAAGGGATATGCTTATTAATTGTTTAGGTAAATACAGTGTGGTATTTATGGTTACATAGAAATAGAATTGTGTTTTCTAATGGTGTTTTGGATGAGAGGGAGGTCCTAGATTCTATTATTCTAAAGTCGTAGAAATGACTATCACTTGTTAGTAAGGGAGAAGCTATTATGTTAACTGATTGGTATTTAAACTCACGAAATTGCATCCGTCTTAGCTTTGTATAAATATATATTTGTTTTTTAGTTCTTTGAGTAAGGAATTTTTTTTCAGTGTATATGAGTTTTGAATTCCCCTTAAACTTTCTCTAATAATATTTGTTTTGCCTATAAAAAAAAAAAAATTACCCTACACATCCGGAATTTGCTCGAGAACAACTAATTTTTGCATTCAAGTTGAATAAAGATTGGTTATTTGTCTATTTCCCGTTTCCTTTTCAATTATTACGATTTCCCGTTTTCTTTGTTTACCCCACGATATTCAATTATTAACATATGTAAGTTATGTTATCTTGATTTCAATTCAAATCAAATACGTGCATGGAAAAATAAGGAATATAATTTCAGTGAACGAAAAGCTAGAAAAGGAAAGGTGTTACTGAAAGCGAGTTATATAGGGAGGACAATTATTCAAAGGATTCATGTACATTCCTTGATATTTTAATGTGTGTATTGACTTTTATGCAATCATAATTGAGAGTTGTATGTATCTCATGAAAAGAAAATTCATAAATAATTAATAATATAGTATTAATGTTTTATTTTTCAAGTTAAATAGTTTTTTTTGTCTCAAATTTATTTTTCTCTTTATGATATTTTTTTAGCAACAGTGTATAATAATTATTATTATTATTATTGATAGGTATGTTTCACTTCTCTATCTAATCTTTACATGGGCAAATGTTATATGCATTCCAAGGGGATTTCTTTACGCCTTGTTTGGTTTGTGTAAAAATGCATAGAAGAAAAATGCAGTGAATAGAAAGGAAGCTTGGAAAAAGAAAAAGAAAAGTGCTACAGTTTGGG